AGTGGTGCCAATGCAACCTGGAAATCACGGAAAGAGCTGCATCTCTGTGACTGGGAGCCTGGAATCTCCTGCTGGGGACACCTGACATCCTCTTTCTCCTGTCCCCGTGGAGAAAAGAGCAGGAGAAGGTCTGGGACTGGCTGGGTGGTGGCAGCCCTGCTGGCTGAAGGGAGTGGGGGCTGTTCCCTGGGCTCTCCCAGAAGCTGGTGCTGTTGGAATGGGCTGGCACAGAGCTCCTGGCAGCTCTGGTTTCTCCTGGAAGTGCTTTCTTAACCAGTGCTGTCAGGACATGCCGTGAGGGAGCTCCACGCCCCGGCTGGGAGGTGGATGAGAGGCCAGGCTGGCCCAGATGGAGGAGAAACAGAACCAGGACAACACCAGGAGTGGCCATTCCTCCTTATTAAAGGTTGCCCTCTAATCCTCCCCTCAGCCTGAGCAGCTCCTCTAACCCAGACCATCCCAGGGACCACCAAAACCGGCTCGTTTCTGGCCATCCTCATCGGAGGGAAGACACAAATCCCCCAAGACTAACGAGGTTTGATGGACACCACTGATTTCAGTCACAGCTCCTGGTGAAATTCATGGAATACATCCCTGGATTTGTGTTTGTTCCCAGATGAGCTTGGCTCTCTGTGGCTGTGACCATCAAAATGTGATGTATCAGAAATCTGCAGGTGATAAACCAGGATGTACCTGCTCTCCTGAAAAACTGCACAGAGGGTCTTGTGCCAGAACAGGAAAAGCAGGACTGGACAATTTCAAAGGTCTAATTCCACTCAAACAGGATTTGATTTTATTAGTAAATGTCCAGTGATTGATTCCTTGCTAAGATCAGTTTTCACTTAGGAATTATCCCAGGCTGCCTCTGCAGGGAGATTGGAGTTTATCGAGACACACAGCCAGAAGTTTGGAACAGCTTTTAAAATACCACATTCCTGAACACTAGGTGCAGAGGAAGTGCTTTTCAATCTGATTGAATGCACCAAGTGTGACCCAGTTGAAAAATCTCCTTCACATCACGCCAGCCCAGATCATCAAAGGTACTTTTGATCCCTCCCTGTCATGAGCTGCCAGCGGAGCCTGTGGTGCTGTGGCAGGGAGGAGGAGGAGGGGCTGCAGCCACAAACAGTTGGTAGATATTAAAATAAATGGAAGTGGGGTCTTCCTTACCCTCCTGGGAGTGAGGGAGCAGCTCAGCAGGAGCAGGTGGGAAGCCCTGGGTGCCACCAGCAGCATTTGGGAAGCTGGGAACTGCTCCGGCCTTGCTCCGTGGCTCATGGAGATGAAGCAGGAGTTAGTGAGGAATCTCCTCCCAGCATGGGGAAGGGGAACAGCAAACAGTGGCCAGAAGGTGATTTAGAGGATGATTTCCTACAGAGGTGCATGGGAAGGGTGAACACCATGGAGAAGGACCACGGGAGCTCTGCAGCCCCTCCCAGAACAACAGTGCCACTGTGATGTTGTTTAATGCAGAGCAAGCGACTTAAGTATGGCAGAGGCTTGAATCCACTGAGCTCCAGATGCTTGTCAGCTTCACAGAAGAGCAGAAGAAAGGCAGGAGGTGTTGCAGGTGTTCTGGAAAACACCCAGAGCAGGATTTCCCTGAAGTGAAAGCACAGGAGAGGGACCAGCTTGAATAATGAACCAGATTTTCTCTTTATTTTTCGAGATTCCCGTGTAGTGCCGAAGTGCTCCGTGCTGAGTTCCTGTGTGGAGCAGGGTTGTCAGTAAGGAATTGGTGCTGGCTGTGGTGCAGAGATCAAACAGAAAATTATTTGGGAAAGGAAAACCAGGAGTGTTTTCATTCCTTTGAAAGAAACGAGGAAACAAACTCTGATTATTCCTCAGAGTGTAGGATTGACCCTCTCAAATAAGCCCTTTAAATTAATTAATTTTAAAAAAACAAAGCAAATTAAACCAAAACAAAAACCCCAGGAGCACCTGATGTCCCCTGAGCACATTGAGCAACCACATCATCCACTTGTCTCTTCCTTTCTCCATGCTTTTGCTGAGTACAAGGCATGATTTTGGGGAAAATCCTGTGAAAAGCCTTAAGAGTGTTGCAGGCCACGAGGCCCCACCTGTGTCCTGCTCCGTGTGTTTGGGTGGCTCCATCACCAGGGGATGATGGGTTTAGTGGTGGCCTTGGCAGTGCAGGGGGACAACAATTGGACTTGATGATCCTAGAGGGCTTTTCCAACCTGAACTGTTCCTTGATTCCATCTTTTCGGTGGTTCACAGCCTTTGGAGGGTGGCAGCCTTTCTCCTGTCATCCTTGGGAAGAGGAGAAGGTCCAGGACCTGACCAGCCTGAAATGGGAACAGGGACAGTCCCCTGACCTCGTTAGTGTGTCTGTTAAACTAATTGGGGATGTTGATCACTTGTAAAGAGGATTCTGAGTTTTCAGAACGCGTTTTCCTTAGTCCTCTCTTTTTCCTCCCCTGTAATTTCCAGCTCCTCTCAGAGAAGGCAGAGCTGCTGCTGGAGCTGGGGACATCCATCCAATAATGTTCATTGCTGGGATGGGATTTCCTTCTTCCCAAAGCCTTTGGTTGGGAAAGGTTGTGCACCGTCAGCAGGCTGTGTGAGAGCTGATCTCTCCATTTGCCATGGGGGATTTGCTAATTCCTCCATTTTAGTTATAAAATTTTAGATTTAGTTATGAAATGTATTCATTTTCATGTTGATGCTGGTACAGAGTGCAGGGGAACTTCACCCATTTGGTTTTCCACCCAGAGTGACTCACTCTTGATATGAAAATATGAAAGCTGAATTCTGACTATCAGGATAATTAGCAAAGAAGCAAGTTTTGTAAGAACATCAAATTGATTGATCCGTTTGAGCACAAGATCCTTATATTTGCTGTTTTGGATGCCATTGGTTGTTCCCACCCTATTTCATGGAATGGGCTGGGTTGCAAGAGACCTTGCAGCCCATCCAGTGCTGTCCCCTGCTTTGGGACACCTCCCACCGTCCCAGGCTGCTCCCAGCCCTGTCCAGCCTGGCCTTGGACATTCCAGGGATCCAGGGGCAGCCCCAGCTGCTTTGGGCAACAGGGAAGAATTTCTTCCTCATGTCTGATCTAAATCTACCCAATTTCACTGAAAACTTTGCCCCTGCATTCCCAAGGTCCCTTTCATGGCTGTATCCTAGGAGGGATCCTCTCATGAGCATGCATGAGAGGACAGGGCAAGCAGGTCTCACAATCTCCATAGAATTCCTGTTTTGCTTCCTTTCAAAGTTATTTAAACCACCAAAGAAGCGAGACCCAGCGATTCTTTTTATTTATTGCTGATCTGAGCAGGGTTTCAAATTAATGAGGTGTGGGCTGAGTTGGTAAAAATGGCACCATGATTTAACATTGCAGAGGATAAATGCTCATCTCCGGGTTCAGTCTGTCTCACTCGTGTCTCCTGCAGCATCTGATGCAAAACCTCTTCAGTGGGATAAAGGTTTAAAATAATCCCAGGCCCTGCCTGTGTGAGGGGGTTTTTCCATCGTGCTGCTGTTCCTCATGATTTTTTCTGGTGTGGGATTTTTATTTTGGACTCAGTTTTAAGCACCCATTAAGCTGGATGGTGATGGTAGAGGATGGTGTGTGGGGGGTTTTTATGGGTTGAGTTGTGACTTGTTACAATCACACCACGGAGGCCTCCATTTCAATCTACAGGGGTTTAAATTTGGTGTAGAATTTATGGGGTTTGCAACCAGTTCCTGTTGTTTTCCGGTGGTTTGAGTGGTGCAGCTCTGCTGTTTCCTCCTGTGTTCCTCAGTGATGGTGTCAGCAGCCACTGGTCAGGGCTGACAGGACATCAGAGGAACCCCTGACACGCTCGTGAAGCAACTGCACTGTGTGATGAGAGGGACTTTATCCTCATATTTTTAATAAGCACTTTAAATGACTTTAAAACTACTCCTGGCTGTCATCCAAACCTTCTGGACTAAGCCACGGCCACCAGGAAATGTCCTTGCAGTCACCACTGTGTCATTAGGCTTTCCCTCCTCCTGAAACCGCTCTGGTTTTGGGAGAAAACCAGGGATCAACGTTCTTTTTCTGGAGTGGGGAATGCTCTTCTCTAAAGGATGAAGGGAACAGCTTTCCTTTCATCCCTGTGCCAGATCCCTGCTCAAATCCCAGCCCCACCCTTTGGATGTGTCACAGGGATGCGTGGCCGGGCCAGCTTGGTGACACCTTCCCCTGCCAGTCAGGGTGCTGGCCCACAGAGCCTGGCTCGTGTCAGGAATCCTTTGGGAATGATTTGAACATGGGAATGGCTTCCCAAGGTTTCAGTGTTGGTGACATTAGGTTTGGGTTGCTTTTGAGTTCAAGGTTTGGTTCCAGTGGTTTCATCTGTTGTCTTGGGGCCTTGTCTCCTGACTTCAAAGTCACTGTGCTCTATCAATCACATTCTGATCACATTTTTCCATGGGTTTTTTTTAAATTTTAATAGTAAGAAAAGCAGCAATGTCCCCTTTCAGGAAAAGCTCCGTGTCTTGGGAAATCTTGGAGGTGTCTGAGGAACTCCTGGATGTGGCACTCGGTGCTCTGGTCTGGGGAAGGGACATAGGTTGGGCTTGATGATCTCAGAGCTCTTTTCCATCCTCAGTGCTCCTGGGATTCTGTACTGTTTGTGTCCTGAGCTGTTGAGCTCAGAGGAGACTTTGTGTCACCCTCAGGCCTCTTCCCTGAAAGCTGGAACTTGACGTTAACAAAACCAAGTCCCAGTTTGACCCTTCAATATGTGTGTGAGGGACAGTCTCAGCACTGAGGGTCCTTGGGGACCTTGCCTCCAGCAGAGGTGATGGTGTCCCGGTGCTGTGCTCAGTTTGGAAGTGTGGGTTTTTCCAAACTGTTTAATGTAAAGCTCCTCTCCTGGCTCCTGGCAGAGTTATTTCCCTCTTGTAGACATCCCCTGTCCACGGGGGAGGCGATCTCTGTCCCTTGTGCTCACAGCTTTTTGTCAAAGCTTCTTGTCCCAGCTTTTTGTCCCCTCTGCCAGTGACTCTTGATGGAAGAACACGGAGTGACCCAGGCGGAGCACATGGCTACCATCGAGGCGCACGCCGTGGCCCAGCAGGTGCAGCAGGTGCACGTGGCCACCTACACGGAGCACAGCATGCTGAGCGCCGACGAGGACTCGCCCTCCTCGCCCGAGGACACCTCCTACGACGACTCCGACATCCTCAACTCCACGGCGGCCGACGAGGTCACCGCTCACCTGGCGGCTGCAGGTAACGCCTGGGGGCTGCTCCATCATCATCGTCATCATCATCACCTGCTGGTGATGCTTGTGTAGTAAAATTAGGGTGTCCCCAGTGTCTGCGAATGATTGGCATCTGACTCTATTGATTTAGAATGCTGAACAATTGTTTTATTAAACTATATTATATTACATTATGCTATACTATATTAAAGAGATACTACACTATATATATATACACACATTTATGTATATATATACACACACATATATGTGGGTATATATATATACCCACATATATATACTATATATATACTGCACTATATATATACATATACATACTATATACTATACACATATATACATACATATATACTCTACTATATATATACACATGTATATACTATATACGTATATATTCTACTATATATATACATGTATATACTATATACATATATACTATACACATATATACATACATATGTACACACTATACATCTATACTATACTAGATATAGACATATATATACACTATATACATATATACTATACTATATATACATATATACTATGTACATATATACTGTACTATATATACATATATATACTATGTACATCTATACTGTACTAGATATATACATATATACTATATACATATATACTATACTTATATATATACTAAATACATATATACTATACACATACATACATATGTATGTACACACTATACATATATACTATATATATACATATATATCGGACAGCAGAGATCTGCTGGAGGGAGGATTGGCTGTGGGAGAGATAAAGAAAACTGAACTGTGAACAGAGAGAGCTGCCCCAGCTCTGACAGGTGGGGACAGAACACACACCCCCATTTCCAACCTAAGACAGTACTTTGATTGAAAATGTGTAGTATCACATCTTAGAGTTTTAGAATACAGTAATATATATAAAACAAAATGAAAATTTTAATGCAGAAGCTAGTTCTTCTTTACCTTCTTCTTCATGAGTTTAAGTAGAATTGTGTAATTAAATAAAAAAGTTTGCATTGCAGAGCACAAGTAGTTATTGAGTTAAAAGTAAAAATAATTTAAGTGTTGTTTTCTTAATTAGACAGTTTATCCTTTAAAAGCCTTGTAAAGAGAGAAATATGTCTCCATTTTTAACTTGTTAGAGAAAAGTACTACAGAACTCACAATTTGTTAGACTGTAACATAAATAAGAACTAGCAGACATCAAAGTCCAAACAGGAAATACCATCTCTCACGATTTAATCCCAACCTTAAAAAAAAAAAATCCCAAAAAAATCAACAGCTACCTAAAATATAATTTAGACAAAATTAAGAGAATAGAAGTGTGTGTTTATTGAAGGCCCTCCATAGATACACCTTGGGCAGTCAGAAGCCTTCCAGAGGCCACACCCAGGATGGGTGATGGTCACAGGTTTTTCAGACAATTATAAGTTTGGTCCATTTACATATCAGGGGTTAATCCTCCAATTACAGTTTCAGGTAACAAAGTAATTCACCCCTGGTTTGCCCCCTACAATTTTTACATCTCTCAGGGTGTCCTAGATTGCAAGGCAATGTGTGTTCTATTTGCCATCTAGAGGTGGGGCAGTTGTCTGCTGTTCATGGGGCAGTTCTCTTGATCTCTCCCACAGCCAATCCTCCCTCCAGGAGATCTCTGCTGTCCATGGCCACTGAGTGTCCCTGCAGGGCTGATCAAATTCCATCATCCCATGGGGAGATGCTCCGCCCAGGGCAGGAGCCAAGCATTCCTACCTGGATACAATCTGAGATTTTGAGGTGCCAGAACAGGCTCTTACACTGCATTCCCAGAGGAACAGCTGCATTTTCCACTGGAGCTCCAGAGGAAAACTGCAGCCTTGTGCAGGATCCCTGCTCCAGCAGAAGCACAGCTGGCACTGCAGGAGGGCTGAGCCCCCATGGGATGGGACTGTGCCACCACCCTGACCCACAGGGCTCAGCTCCTGCTCTGACTCTGCCTGGGTTTTGGTTTGTATTACTGCATTGTTTATTTTATTTTTAATTTTCTTCCCTAGTAAAGAACTGTTATTCCTGCTCCCATATCTTTGCCTGAGAGCCCCTCTTAATTTCAAAATTATACTATTTCAGATATTATATAATTATAATTATAATATAATTCAAAATTATAATAATTCATCATTATAATAATTTGCATTTTCCATTTCAAGGGAGGCTCCTGCCTTCCTCAGCAGACACCTGGCTTTTCAAACCAAGACACAGGGCTTAAGACAGTCAGGTGTCCTTGAGTTTCAGGCCTAGAGAGGAATTGTTTTATCTGAATAAAATGGGAGAACAGCAGCTGACAGGCTGTGGAGTTTTAGAGTTATACACTAAAGCAGTACAGGAGCTGAAAAATAGAAAAGCTAAATCCTAAGGCATCACTGGTCCATCCACCCACAGGAATATTCCACAGGAAATTCTCCCTGCTGGCTGCTTGAATCCCACATCATTTCTGTGTGGATCACAGAGGTGCTGGGAATTGCTGCTCTATACAAAGATCTCTGCTAAAATGCTGCCTCAAGTAATGAAATTAAAATTCCAAATATGTCAAAGAGCAAAGATTATTTCAGGCCCCACATAAACAACAGCAAAAAATAACCCAGGAGCACAGCCTTGCTGAGTCAGGGAGCTCACGTGTTGGGCCTGTCCCAGGAAGAGCCACAGAAGATCCTGACATATCTGGCCTGGGAAAGTCCTTCAGGATCACAGGTTCCTCCCAGTGGAGCCAAATGTCCTCCAGACTGGCCCTGTAGTGGGTCTGCATTGGCAGAAAAATGGGGTGATAATTGGGCACTGAGACTGACCTGACTCTATCAGGCTTGAGACCAAACCTGTGAGGTTCCACCACCCCCTGAGCATCCCATGCCTTTTGCTTATGAACTTTCCAGCTTCCCATCATGCAGGAATTTTTCCTTCTCCTTCCCTTCTAGCACACAGAATTTTCAGGACTGGGTAGTCTTCAAAAGACCCTGGTAGGGCACTGCTGGGAACTCTAGATTTTACATTTCTTTCCATGGTAGGGCACTGCTGGGAACTCTGGATTTTACATTTCTTTCCCTGGTAGAACACTGCTGAGAACTCTGGATTTTACATTTCTTTCCCTGGTAGAACACTGCTGGGAACTCTGGATTTTGCATTTCTTTCCCTGGTAGAACACTGCTGAGAACTCTAGATTTTACATTTCTTTCCCTGGTAGGACACTGCTGGGAACTCTGGATTTTACATTTCTTTCCTTGGTAGAACACTGCTGGGATCTCTGGATTTTACATTTCTTTCCCTGGTAGGACACTGCTGGGAACTCTGGATTTTACATTTCTTTCCCTGGTAGGACACTGCTGGGAACTCTGGATTTTACATTTCTTTCCCTGGTAGAACACTGCTGGGATCTCTGGATTTTACATTTCTTTCCCTGGTAGAACACTGCTGGGAACTCTGGATTTTACATTTCTTTCCCTTGTAGAACATTGCTGAGAACTCTGGATTTTACATTTCTTTCCCTGGTAGGACACTGCTGGGAACTCTGGATTTTACATTTCTTTCCGTGGTAGAACATTGCTGGGAACTCTGGATTTTACATTTCTTTCCCTTTAGAACAGGTCCTCAATCCCTCAGGAAAGCCTCAGACTCCTGATGTTGTAGTTGAGGTGTCCAAGCAGGATTTGTGGAGCTGTACCTGGTTTCCTCTTCCCAGCCACCAGGACCTCCTCAGTTATTTAAATCTTGGGAGTTTTTCAGTATGTTTGGAAGATGAAACACAGAATTCTGTGAGTGCCAGGACAACTTTAGGCTGAAATATGTGACTTTCACCCCGGGCTGAGCAGGGATTTGCCAGCCTGGGGAACGGAGCTTTCGCTGCAGAGCAGAGCTCAGGGAGGGATTTGTGTCACTTGGCTCTGCTGGGGACACCCTGGGCACCCATTCCTGGCTGGGGGGCACGGTGACAATGAGCTGCTGGAGCTGCCTGACCCTCTGTGCTTTGATTTGCAGGCCCTGTGGGGATGGCAGCAGCTGCTGCTGTGGCAACGGGGAAGAAGAGGAAGCGGCCTCACGTTTTCGAGTCCAACCCCTCCATCAGGAAGAGGCAGCAGACTCGTTTGCTCAGGTGAGCACTCACCTGTCCCTGCCACCTCAGCGTCCTCCAGCCAGCTCTGGTGGCCTGTGTGCTCACAGCAAGTGCTGCCCAGGAGTCACCCAGCTCGGGGATTTTTTGGGAGTGTCTTTCTGGAAGCCAAGAGTTGTGTTTTAGTTTGCATTAAAGGGTTAAATTGCAGCTCTGCTCATCTCTGATTTTGTGATCACCAGGACTGACACTCTGGTGGATCCATTGTTCTGTTTTAACCCCACTGGTCACCAGCTATCTGTCACTGTGACATTGCAGGATACCCATAGTGGCTTTAGCAGAAATGGAAGCTCCTTCCATGTCCCAGCTCTGCAAAGCATTTATCTGCCTCACAAAAAAAAGTCTTTTCTGCTTGGTCAAACCATTCTGGAGATAAATTCAGTGTGTGTATATCCAAATTCCCTTTGCCATTGGACAAACCCCACACTGTGGGGTTTAGAGCATAGTTATAGGAAGAATAATCCAGGGGAGATTCCTGCCTGAGTTAAAACACTTTTTTTTGGCTTTAGGAGCTTCCTGTGGAGACAGCAGGGCTCCACAGCCCTCCAGGTGTTGCATTCCATGTGCTCTGAGGCTGTTTGCCCACCTGATGGCCCCCGAGCCACACCAGAGCCCTGGGACTGCACAGCCCTGGGGACACCACCTGAGGTTCTGGGCTCTGGAATCATCTGTGAACACTGGCTGCCACTGTTCCCTGGCTTTTGCAACAAAGCAATTCTTGCTTTTTCTGCTGTTTGGGATCTCATTGGGCAGTTAATGTTAAATTATTGGGCAGAGTTATTGCTAAATAATAATCCTTAGGACTGAACTCCCTGCCTTTTACAGCTCCATTCTGGTTTTCCCTCCTTCCCCCAACTCTGCCCTGTTTATTGCAGTGTTTCTGTTTTTATTGCAGTGTTTCTGAAGATCAAGTCTTTTTCTCCCTTGAAATACGAACAATATATTTTTAAAGAAACTGCTCAGTGAAGGAATTATTTCTTCTCCTTTCATGCAACAACTTAATTTTACTACATTAATATAATGACAAAACATATTTTTTTCCCCACTCTGACCAGTTGAACACATGTTTGTGCTTGATTTTCACCCCACTGGGAATCAAGTGGGAATTTCAAACCCCTGGCTGTGGGATCTGTGTGTAGCTTGTGGTGCTTTTTGGCAACCTCAGGTCCTGAAATGACCAGGACAGGGACTGAGCTGTCACCTCACAGAGTGCTCAAGTTTTCTGGGGAAAACACTGCTTCTTTCTTGCTTTTGGAGTTTCTGCCAGCACTTCTGACTCTTGCACTGCTTAAAAGGGAATAAGAGGCAGAAAATATCCAGTGGAACGTTTTAATTCTGAAGGGAGTTGCTGGTGGGGCAGGTGTTGGGACACCTGGGTTCCCTGTGCTGAGCTGTTGCAATATTCCCAGTTCTTGCCTGTCCTGTAGCTTGAATTCCTACAGATCTGGTTTGAGCAGGACTTTGGTGCTGGAGAATTGCACTGCTATGATCTGGATGTAAAACAACCTCTGTCTGCAGGCCTCTTTTGATGAATCATTCAGGTGCTTCAACAAAACACAAGTTTTGTGTTGCCAAGACAGAGTGGAAGTGCAGACTCTCGCTGCCCCAGCTTTGCTGCTCTGGTGATTTCTCTTTTTACATCAATGAGAAAAGGAGAGAGGGGAGAATAATTGACATTTGAGCTGCTGGGTGACTGCAGGGAGCACAGCAGGCCTGTGGAACAGAGGAATAAACTCAATATGTGGCCAAGCTGAGCAGCTGGGGCTCCGTTTCTCACCTGCTTTGTGAAAGGGAGCTGGAAGTCAGAGGGGCTGTGTTTCTGCAGGGCTTTCAGCTGATGCCCATTCCCTGGTTTTGCCCTGTTTCAGGAAGCTCCGGGCCACGCTGGATGAGTACACCACCAGAGTGGGGCAGCAGGCCATCGTCCTGTGCATCTCACCCTCCAAACCCAACCCTGTCTTCAAAGTATTCGGTGCTGCACCCTTGGAGAACGTGGTAGGTGTCCCTGGGAAAGTGAGGAAAGAAATTCCTCACCTTCCCTGCAGATTTTGTTCTGCTCAGGGCAGCCTTGGAAGCCTGGTAGGGATCTGAAGGGTAATTTAAAAAACCCTGGAAAATAGAGTTTAGGTTTTATGGAATACAGTGCTGGACCTGGTTGAGTCAGTGATTTCAAAGATCTTTTCCAGCCCTAATGTTCCTGTGATACCCTGACATGAGGGCAGCACTGAGGTCCTCTCTTCACTGCAAGAATGGTTGCCTGGCACATCTCACCAGGGGAGAATATCCTGAATTAAAAATCAGAGGGAACATGTCATGATCACAGAATCCCAGAACCCCTGAGGTTGGAAAAGACCTCCAGGATCATTGAGACCAAGGTGTCAAAGCCCCACTTTGTCCCTAACCCAGAGATCTGAGTGCCACATCTAGGAATTCTTGGACACCTCCAGGGAAGGGCACTCCAAAGCTCCCTGGGCAGCCCCTGCCAAGGCCTGTTCCCCCTTTCCATGGGGAAATTCCTGCTGATTCCACCCTGAGCTCCCCTGGCCCAGGCTGAGGCCGTTCCCTCTCCTCCTGTCCCTGTTCCCTGGAGCACAGCCCGACCCCCCCGGCTGTCCCCTCCTGGCAGGGACTTGTGCAGAGCCACAAGGTCCCCCCTGAGCCTCTTCTTCTCCAGACTAAACCCTGAAAAATGACATGTTTAAACTCAGCTCTGCTCTCTTCACCTTATTGCAGACCCTGCCCAGGACAAGTTCTACCCTCAGAACTTTTCCTTTCATCCCACAAATTCTTCCCTTGCCAGTGTTACTGCGAGTTTCATCAGCAGCTCTTCCATAGGGCCGAGTCTCAAAGGGCTGCTGGGTGTTTCCTGCCAGCTGTGCCACTGTTTGCTCCTCTCCTGGTGCTGCTCACCTTGTTTACCTGAGCCTAACAACTCCCCACAGGTACGCAAGTACAAGAGCACCATCCTGGAAGACCTGGAGTCGGCGCTGGCCGAGCACGCCCCGGCCCCTCAGGAGGTCAACTCAGAGCTGCCACCCCTCACCATCGATGGCATCCCCGTCTCCGTGGACAAGATGACCCAGGTGAGTGGACAGATGACCCAGGTGAGCAGCCACCCGTGGCAGAGGCAGGGGAACAGAGGGGTGTTTGGCATCTTGCAGTCTCATCCTGTTGTTTTGTGTGGCTGCCTCTCCAGGGGATGCTCTGATCTCTCTCCCCTGGGGCTCTAACAGCTCGGGTTGTGGTTGGGTGTGGAGCTTTGTTGGTGGTGCTGATTTTCTCCATGAACAAAAATGGTGTGGAGAGCTCAGGCTGCTGGGAGCATTCCCTTTGGAGCTGGTTTTGGGACCTCAGAAACTGGAAACAGGGAAAATGTTTGTTCCGTGCTTTGCCACAATCTTTAAGCACCAAGGTTGGGAAAGTCACTCGTGGACACCTTCCTGTGTCCTGTAGTTCATTCCCTCCTCTGTTTCTTGCTGTGGATTGGAGCAGAGGGGAGTTTGCCAAAGGTTCAACCCCAGATCAGACCCTGAGTGAGATATTTTTGTTGGAGCTTTGTTAGTGATGCTGATTTTCTCCATGAAAAGAAAGAAATGGTGTGGAGAGCTCAGACTGCTGGGAGCATTCCCTTTGGAGCTGGTTTTGGGACCTCAGAAAGTGGAAACAGAGGAAATTTCCCTATTCCCTGTTTGTTCCATGCTTTGCCACAGTCTTTAAGCACCAAGGTTGGGAAGGTCACTCGTGGACAGTTTTCTGTTTCCTGTAGCTCATTCCCTCCTCTGTTTCTTGCTGTGGCTTGGAGCAGAGGGGAGTTTAACCCCAGATCAGATCCTAAGTGGGATATTTTTGTTGGAGACAGGGAATTATCTGCCCTGGGCATGTGGGAGATTCCTTTTCTCTCCAGGTCCAGCCGCTTGCTGACCTCACTGCTGGGAGAAAGTGGAGGGGACTCCTCAGGGAAGCTTCATCTGGAGGGAAATCTCCTTCCCAGGGATGCAGGACCTGAATTCAGGCAGGTGTGTCCTGCAGGAGGCTCTGGGTACACCCAGCCTGAGGCACCACAACGAGTTTTAAACGCTGAAAGGCAATTTTTTTCCGAGGGAGTAGCAAGATGGAAAGGGCAGCACACAAAGAGGTCAGAGCAGAGCAAAGATGTGCAGATTTTTCAGTGCTCTGCAGAGGTCACACCCTGCTCAAAGCACCATTTCCATTTCTTAGTGGAATCAGACAAGCTCACACTCTTAGTAAAATTTTATTGTGCTTTGGCTGGTACAGATCATTTTCCCAATCCCTGACAAATAAGACAAAAACTATTTCTTGGATTTTTAAACTCCTGTGAAAGGTGGCACCTGCAGGAGCTGCTCATGGCAGCTTTTGTTGTGTACCAGGAGCAGTTCCCCATGGAAATGTTTCTCTCCTCCTGGTCCTGCAGGGCCTTTGCTCAGCCAGCCCAAAGTGCTGATGTAGAACCTCTTCTTTCAAATCCTCTCCTGCTGCTCCATGGCAGAAAAACAAGGATCTTTTTAGGAATGGCCCTCATCGTTCCAGCACAGTGAGGTAGCTCAGAAGAGCTTTGTGGAAAGGTTTCTCCTGAGCTGGGCACAGAGGTGCCATCATTTATGGTGGGAATCTTGATTCCCAGAGCTTCCACTATAATTATTTGTATTTTCTAGTAAAAAAATCAGTGTGTTGTTTTTTTTTTTTTTTTTTTTAGCTAAGTTGCACAAAACCCCATGGAAAACTGGAACAAAAATAAATATAAATGTAATTAGGATGGCAAGGACTGGAAAAATGAGGCCTCTGCTTTCAGCAGGTGACAGCAGGCAGGTGTAGAGGTGTCATCAGTGAGGAGGTGAAAATAATTCTCCTTTTAATTGCTCTGCTTCCCCAGTGGTCTGGAGGGAAATGAAGCCTTTATTTGCCTGGGCAAAGATGTTTCTCTAACCTTGGGAATGGAGAGTATCACCCACCTGGTCTGGGCAGGAAAACCTGTGTTGCAGTGGGATTTTCAGCCTTCACAGAGGGGGATCTTGGTGCTTTCTGGACTTTGGTGACAGCTGAGTTTGCCCCTCACCTTGTTCTCAGCTGCTCGTTGATGTGATTGAGGAGTAAAATTGGGTAATCTGAGCTTAACCAAGCTGAGCTCAGTGCTTCAGTCAGCTCTCACTGGTTTATGAAGAGGTGATTTGTCCTTTAAGCTGATTTTTTTTTTAAGCCCCTGTGATTTATAACTTGCTTGTAGGAGGCAGTAAAAGCTTTTCTGGCTCCTACAGGCCAGAAAAAACTTTATAAAGTTTTTGAAAGACCATCATGGTGCCCGTTCCCCTCCTGAGAGCTGCATTGCTGCTCTCCCAGCTGGTCCCTGGCACAGAATCCTTGCTGGAATCAGCTCCCATGCAGCTGAGCAATAGCCTGGATGGTTTTCTGGTTTCCCAGCTCTGGGAAGTGCAGCAGGGATGGATTCAGGGATAGGTGTTCCCTTCCAGCTCTGGTGCAGTTGCTGTTTTTCCCTCTCCCACTTCCAGGTGCAGCCGGGGTCCTGCATGGACTCGACTTTGCAGAGATCCCAAGGCTGTGCTCTGGGGATGTGTAGAAAATTCCCAGCCACAGGTTTTGCTCTCTTCTAGAAACCACTTCCCTTGGTGTTTGCAGCTCTGGAGAGCAGTTGGAATACAGCTGGCTGTGCTTTGGGCTGTTGCATTTGGGATTGGGATAGCTCAATACCATTAATTCTCGAATTTGATGTTAAAAGTGGAAACACTGAGCCTGTGTGAAAGAAGTGGCAAAGAAACATTCCTCACAGTCTGTCCCAAATCCATCCTGGGGGTTCCCTGAGTCCTTTCCAAGGGCACAAACTGGAAGGTGCCACTGGGTTTTCCCAGAAGATATTTGATTTTTGGGTGTGTCTGGATGGTGCCAGCAGAACGTGGCTCCTGCAGGTGAGTGTCCCCCTGTGTCCCCAGGGGTGTGGGGGACATCACCTGTGGCCCAGCCCAGCCTCGTTAGGGCACTAATTAGCCAAGTCCTCTCTGCTGACAGAGCTGCTGATTGTCTCCCCGTGGATTAAAACAAACCCTCCTTAACAAGTACCTTGAGTAGCTTGAGCCCTGAACTGCTGGAGCAGTAATTGATGCACTGGAACAAGGAGCACTGCTGATGGCAGGGAAGAGCTTTAACTGTTTTTGCACCGGCCCTAAATGCTGAAAATTTTAAACTTTCTGTACTAAAAAAAACTCTAATCCCCAAAAGAATCCCACATTTAACCTAAAGCCATAAACCAGAATTGTTAATAACACTAAAATTACAAGGGTGTAGTTAATTAAAAGTGTGTAATATCATGAAGTAAAAAACCTACAGTCTAAAAAAATATATATCATTTAAAATATATATTAATATATATTAATATAATATATGTTATAACATATATTATTCAAAATATAATATATATAAAACAAAATAGAAGTTTTAAAACAAAAACTATTCCTTCTTCCTTCTTCTCCATAAGCTTAAATAGTATTTTATAACTAAACAAAAAAATCCACATTACAAAGTTCAAGTAATTAAGTTAAAAATAAAAATAATTTAAGTATAATTTCTTAATTAAGTAGTTTAATCTTAAAAAACCTTATACAAAAATAGTTAACCATTTTGTGACTTAGTAATACAATACTATAAACAGAACTATATTAAATATGCATTATAAATATTATAAATAATATATTATAAATAAATATATTATTAATATAATTTATAATATGAATAAAAAATAACAAGCATCTAAACCTAAACACAAAATACCATCTCTAACACTTCAATCCAAACCTAAACAAAATCAACCCCAAACAAACAAACAAAAAAAAAAACAACCAAAAAACAAACCAAACCAAAAACCAGCAGCAGCTCCAAAAAAGCTTGCTGCTCCCAGGTTTATTTTAATTAATTATTGAGCAGAGTTACTGCTAAATATTAATCCTTGGGATTGAACTCCCTGCCTTTACAGCTCCATTCTGGTTTTCCCTCCTTCCCCCAGCTCTGCTCAGCCCTGTTTATTGCAGTGTTGAACAAATCCTTTTCTCTCTTGGGCTATCTATGAATACAATGTATTTTTAAAGAAACTGCTTTCTGGAGGAATTATTTCTTCTCCCTTCGCCAGGCTTCGTCCAGGGAACCTGGAGCATGTCAGGGTGGCCCTGCAGTGGAAGGTGGATCATGGACAGGCTGGGAAAAAGGTGCTTTAGGGCTTATTCCATGTGGAAGGTGGAAAAGGCAGCTTGAAATGAGATCATGGACAGCTTGGAGCCAAGGGATGCCACATCCAGGCTCTGTCCAGAGAGGGGAGTGGAGCTGGAGCACAGGGATGGCCTTGGCAGTTCTGGGGAACTTAAAGGTCTTTTCTAACTGAAATGACTCCATGGCTATATGAAATAATCTGCTCTGAAGTGATGCAGGGAGCTGCTCCTAATTGCAGTTTTTAAACTCTAAATGTGATTTCCTCTGACATAAGGAGAGCTCTCCCCTTCCTGCTCTGCTCTGCACCTGAGCCAGCCTTTTCCTGGTGCTTCAAGGAGTCCCTGGTACAAAACCAATCTTGTCACAAAACCCTGTGTGAATTCTTTATTTCTTTTGGCAGGACAGGGCTGGAGAAGTGTGAGATTGTGGTTTCCACATTTCAGCAGTCACTGAAGCTGCATCCCCTTGCAGCACCTCTGTAAATGATACATCAGCTCATGTCTGAGCTCCTGCCACTGTAGGGACACTGAGTGTGGGGTTTTTCGTAGGTTATTGTGATTTATTTTTTGTTTTTCCATTTCAGGTTGGCTCATCCTCTTCCTAGTAGTGTTTGATTTGTTAAGTGTCAATACAATGGTTGTGCCTTGGTGTTGTAATTTTGTTTTGGCTGATTTAATTTTGTTTCTTCTCTTCCACCTGCTGCCAAGCTGAGTCCTGGGAGAAGATGGCAAAGTATTGTCCACCTTCCTTGGGTTTTCAGGCCTCTTCCTGTTGATGGCTCCAACAGGATGGAAGCTGAACACAATAATTGCGTACAACGTCCCTCAAAACCACCCGAGATGTGAATTCCTAAACACCTCAAACTTTTGTGTGTTCCAGGCACAGCTGAGAGCCTTCATCCCCGAGATGCTGAAGTATTCCACGGGTCGTGGGAAGCCAGGCTGGGGCAAGGAGAGCTGCAAGCCCATCTGGTGGCCCGAGGACATTCCGTGGGCCAACGTCCGCAGCGACGTCCGCACGGAGGAGCAGAAGCAGCGGGTGGGTGTCTCCCTGTCTGCCTCCAAATGGAGCACAGGGGATGCAGGCTGGTTTTTGGCAGTGGTTTTTGCCTTGAGGGACAGAAGAAAGGGTCTGTGTCGTGGCCTCCTGAAGGAGGGAAGGGATGCTGTCCTGTTCAGAGCAGCAGGGAGCCTTGTGCTTAAAGGAAGGAGCCGTGGATGTGCAGTGGAGCCGGGGAAAATGAGAGAACTGGGTGAAAAAGTAAGGTTTCTACCAACCTGTCACAGAGATAATCAAAGGAAGCCACCGTGGTGGGCAGGCAGGAGGACCTGTGTGGGCTGGTTCAGGGCTGCTTGGGTGGGAAGGCTGGAAATGGTGCTGTGGCAGCATTTTGGTGCTTTCCCAAATCACCGTGGTTTTCTGCTTGGAGTCACAGAATGTTTGGGTTGCAAGGGCCCTGTTAAAAGTCTTCTCATTCAACCCCTGCACTGAGCAGGGACATCTTCACTGGATCAGAAGGCTTTCCAGGGTGATTCCTTGGGGAGAGGAGGGGATGAGCAGAGGGAGGTTCAATATTGGGATTGTTCATTTGCGAATCCTTGCAAACCACCCGACGAAGCCCAGTGAGGACAAACCTGCAAATCCCAGCGCTGAGCTGGTTCAGAACACCTCCCTGGGCTGACTGTCCCCTGTTCCCTCCTGCTGGAAGGTGTCCTGGACCCAGGCCCTGAGGACCATCGTGAAGAACTGCTACAAGCAGCACGGGCGCGAGGACCTGCTCTACGCCTTCGAGGACCAGCAGACCCCGCAGACCACGACCACGCACAGCATCGCCCACCTGGTGCCCTCCCAGACCGTGGTACAAACCTTCAGCAACCCCGACGGCACCGTGTCCCTCATCCAGGTGAGAGCAGCCCCCTGGCTCCTCCATTTCCAGCACCATTTAAACCACCAGGAGGTGGCTGGAGGAAACTCAGGAGCTAAACTTGTCCTTCAGGAATTTCGTCCTTATCATGTCTTACCCCACAACAAAGATCCATCCTCTCCTCTCTCTTCCCAGCTCCCACCCCTTGTCCAGTGCAAGGATTTCTGTGATGTGGTCAGAAAAATTCAGGGGTTTGACCCAAGATTAGTGAACCTTCTTGGAACAAATCCAGTCCCTGGTGCTGCCACACAACACCTGTAATGGCAATGGGAGGAGAGGTGGTGGAACTGCCTTCCTTTAAGGGTATGAAATGTAGTTTAATCAGCTGCATTTCAGGTATTATATACATAAATCATCTATCTAATACATATTATATATGTATATAAATTATATATATATATAATATACATATTACATAAAAGTATATGTTATATATTATATAATACATTATATATATTATAGATAGATATATAGATAGATAGATCAGGTATTTCTGTGCCCCAGGTCTTTATCTGACACTTCAAGTGTATCATATTCCATACAAACACCAAATACATATATATATATATGTATGAATATAAAATATATATTTTATATTTATATAAAAATATATATAGATCAGGTATTTCTGTGTCCCAGCTCTTTATCTGACACCTGAAGTGTATTATATTTATTACAAACACCAAATACATATATTATATATGTAAAATATATATTTTAATAGATCTATTTTTTAATATAGATATATATATGTATCTATATTAAAATGTATATATCTAGATATAGATCAAGTATTTCTGTGCTCCAGGTCTTCATCTGACACCTGAAGTGTATTACATTTTTTACAAACACCAAATACATATTTGTCCCCATGGAATAGGATTCCTCTCACACTGTTCTTAGCTCAGTGCTGTTTTCCCTGTGTTCCCTGTGAGGGAAGGCAGATTCTGGCAGCTCAGGATGTCAAAAAAAATTAGGTTTTCTCTTGAAACTTCCCACAAATTCCTTGTGGGGGTGAGAATTGAATCTCAGTTTCCCCTGTGCCTCCAAACCAGCACTGGTGGTGGTTCCTAACCAAGCCCAGCACTTTGTCCCCCTTGAGCATCACATTTTTAGTCAAGTCTCAGACATACTTTTCTCAGACAGATAAAAGCTGGGTGTTTGAGTAGGGTTTTTTTCCCAAATGAAGCTTTTCAGTGGCTGTCACAGTTTTCTGTTCCCCCACCAAGGCCCAGGTGGTTCTCTTTGCTCACCTGTCCATACGATCTCCCTTTGACTGGTGTCCTTTCAGGTGCTGGACACCTGAGATCCCATTGACTCCCTGCATTTATATTTAATGCTCCTCAGAGACAAAGCTGCCCATCTCCCTGCCTTTGTCCTTTCCCAGCTGTTAAATGGGGAAAAGATCATTTCCAAAGGGGTATTGAGGAGGAGCTCACGTTTGCCAAGGTGCCTGGAGATGAGACCCAGGGAATGGGGAGCAAGGAGGGCGTGCAGGGAATTGTGAGCCAGTGCTGGTGGGTGGGAGAAGGGAGTTGGCTCCACCATGCTCCCTCAGCTGCTCTTCCTGAGGCTGGGAGACTGCTGAGGCCTTCAGGGACATAGGGACAGCACGTGGGATGTGCAAAACTTGGTTCCAGTCTGGAAGCTGCCATGGATTAACATGGCTCCAACTTGGGATTTCCTCCCCGCTGGGGAGAGCTCCGTGTTTTCCGTGAGCTCTGCAATTACAATTAGTCACAGAATCATGGAATATGAGGGAGTTGGAATGGACCTTAAAGATCCTGTCATTGCCATGGGCAGGGACACCTTCCACCATCCCAGGCTGCTCCAAGCCCTGTCCAGCCTGGCCTTGGGCACTTCCAGGGGTGGGACACCCACAAGCTCTCTCACAGTAAATTCCTTTATTCTTTTCAATCTGCCAGCGTGTGAGCCCCCCTTTTCCCCAGCCTGTGGACACTTCCTGCGGTAACCCCGCGTTCTTTTCTCCTGCACAGGTTGGCACGGGTGCCACGGTGGCCACGCTGGCCGACGCCTCCGAGCTGCCCACCACGGTGACCGTGGCACAGGTCAATTACTCTGCAGTGGCTGACGGAGAGGTGAGCGGCTCGGGGGGCACCTGCGGGGCCTGGCCGAGCCCCAGCGCTCGCAGCAAGCGCCGGCCTGGCACACAGGGGCTGGCACACAGCAGGGAAAATATATAATATAATATATATAATATAATATATAAAAAAGACATATATTATATATTTTTACATATAATGATATATAATATTATGTGTATAATTATATATATTATATATATATATATTTATATATATTTATATATATATATATATAAAATTGTGTTTGCAGAATCCTGAGCCAAAATAGCAATTCAGCACTTTCTGTATAAAAAATATAAATTACATTATAATATAAATGATAAATAGAAATTATATTATAAATATAAATTTTAAATAGAAATTATATTATATATATATATAGATATATAATTCCACAATTATTGTAGAAGCCTTAGGTCTGAATTTTGGGTTTTTTTTTTATATATACATCCTATAGATTTATTATTTAGGTTTTTTTTTTAGGCATTTCCATGCCTAAATCTGAACGCTCAAAATTGCAACCATTTATTTTTCCCTTTTTTTAAAATCAAATCCTACATTAAAAAATATATTTCTTTCTCTGGGCTTAAGAAACATTCCCTTAAAATCATAGAGAATTTTTTTTTTCCCTTGTGGCTTCGCAGTGACCTTGAAGCACTTTGCAGCTGCTTTGGGCTTTCCAAGAGCCACTTTTGTCTCCTGAGAGCTGCAGGAAATCCTCCAAAGGCACAAATAAGGCTGAGTGGGGCTCACCTGGTTTAGGGAAGGTGTCCCTGTCCTGGTCTGGATGGGTTTAAGGTCCTTTTACACCCTTTTAGCTGTGGAATCTCAGCAGCTCAGCCTTTCTGGAGACAGTCCCAGCTTCTTTTCCTTCTTTCCTTACCCCATCCCCGTTCTGGAACTCCTTGGGCACCTTTGCAGGGCATCACTGGGATCTCCCCACCCACAGCTGCTCCCTCCCTCTCCATCCTGTGTTGGGATTGACCTTTACCCAAAGGCAGCGAAGCTTTCCTCCTGCAAAATTTTACCTGGAGCCTCAGATCACCCCTGGTTTTATGGATTTTTTAACCATCTCCATCCCAACAAATTGAGGTGGTTTTTTCATCACCCCCTACAGCATTTTTGTTTTTGTTTCAGAAGTTGGGGAGTGTCCTAAGATGTTTATGGGGATGGAGGTGGAGGGGGATTTCCACCTTGCAAAGCAGCCAGTAGGATTTGGCAGCAGATCCTCTGCTTGTTTGGTCCAATGTTTTTAGTTCTCATCCTGGTGGATTTTGGCCATGTAATCATTATCTGTGAAGCTCCACGTGAAGATATGGGGGAAAATGAGCAACAGGGTGAACTTTAGGTAATATGAAAATCATCTGTGAGAAGGTCTGGAGTTAGGGAATTTTAAATACCTGGGATAAATGAACATTTCCTGCCACTGTCATCTTTTATTGAGCAATATGGCTCAATCCCATCCGAGGTCACAGGTGCTGTCCACATAATCCTGGATGGAAACAGGGACCAATCCCCAAAAGTGCAAATAGAAACAGGGAGGAAAACACAGCCCGTTTCCCTGAGGGATGTGATTTGTGCTGGGGCTCCAGCACTGCAGAAACACAGAATCCCAGAACAGTTGGGATTGGAAGGGACCTTTGGGAATCCTCCAGTCCAGGGCAGGGTCACCCGGAGCAGGTGGCACAGGGACAGGTGGCTTTGGGATTCTCCAGACAGAGATACTCCACAGCTTCCCTGGGCAGCTGTTCCACAGCTCTGCCACTCTCCATGGAAGTTCTTCCTCATGGTGAGGTGGAACTTGTGTTTTAATCGATAGCTGTTAATCACAGCTAATTAACAAACAGCCCAGGCTGACAGGCAGCGATCCAGGTACAACAACAACACCACTGCCCTGTTTTGTTGAGGATTTGGCAGGACAAGAGGGATTTGGAAGGGCTGGGAACAGCAACCCTGAGAGGAAGCCCTGAGGGAGCTGGGGGTGCTCCCCTGCAGAAAAGGAGACTCAGGGCTGCCCTCAGCACTCTGCACAGCTCTGAAAGGTGCCTGTGCTCAGCTGGGCTGGGCTCTGTCTCCAGCAGCACTGACACAGCCACAGCACACAGTCCCGAGCTGTGCCAAGGGAAATTCAGGCTGGGTGTCAGGAAAAAGCTTTTCCAGCAAGGGGATAAAGCTCTGCCATGGCTGCCCGGGGAGGTGCTGCAGTCACCATCCCTGGGGGTGTTGAACAAGCCTGGATGTGGCACTGGGTGCCAGGCGCTGGCTCAGGGCTGGGCTGGGCTGGACTCCATGGGCTGCAAGGTCTCTCCCAATCCAGCCATTCTGGGAATTCTGGCTTTTTGAGGACCTTTCTGGATCTGTATCACTGTGAGCCTCATGGCTGACGGAGGGGCTGCAGTGTCCAGCCACATCCTCAGCTGCATCCCAGCCTCCCTCCCCTTTTCCCCGCTCTCAGAGCCGGACACTGCAGGACTCTGCAAAAACCAATCCGTTTTTCTTTTTGGGAAGCAGGCACCCCTGGAGGGGGTGCTCCTGATCCTACAGCCTGTGTTTCCTGGCAGGTGGAGCAGAACTGGGCGACGCTACAGGGCGGGGAGATGACCATCCAGACGACGCAGGCCTCGGAGGCCACGCAGGCGGTGGCTTCCTTAGCGGAGGCGGCGGTGGCGGCGTCGCAGGAGATGCAGCAGGGAGCCACTGTCACCATGGCACTCAACAGGTACCTGGAGAGGGCACAGCTGGCTCAACCTGAGCCTGGCATCTCCTGCCTGGGTTTCCTTCTGTTGGGGCAGAGTTCAGCCTGTTCAGTCCTGAGAGAGGCTGTCACTCTGCGGGTTCCTGCAGCAGGTGGTGTGTGTACGACAGATCCTGATTCCTTCTCTGTTCAGAGTCAGAATTTCCTCCACTGGCCACTGGTTTTGGGGTTTTTTTTTTCCCCAAGCCTTTCTGAAGTAGAAGCTGAAGGAGTTGCAGTGGTTATTAGGGTTTTTGGCTGCACTCAGGTTAGCAAGATCTGAGGGTAGCTGCACAGTCCATCCAGCAGGATGAAATATCTTTGCTCAGCTCTGCTGAGCTGCTTAAACTCATCCTGCTGTTCCTAAAACCTGGAAATGGCTGTGGCATTCCCTGAGGGATAGGAAATCACAGCACAGCAGTGAAGGAGGTTTCCCACTGCTGAGGTGTGGACAAGAATTTGCCTCATCCAAAGCAGGATCCTGGTTAGAGGCTGTTGGCTGAGCAGCCTGGGGGTGGAACAGGGCACCAGACCACACTGCTGGTAGCTGGAATAAAGCTCCAAGACCTTGTTCCATCCAGAAATTGCTGAAGGAATCTCTTTGATCCCAGTTTGCTCCCAAATATCTGTTGGAATTGAATTCCAAACACACCTAGGACTCTTTCTGCTCTTTGTGATGCAGATTTGGGTTCTTCAGATATTTCTTGTCTGCTGCATGAGATTGCTCAAATAGGCTTTTTTTTACTAATATTTCCCTGTAAAATTCCCTTTTAAAACCAAATGATCTTTTCAGGACACTGGAGTTACAGGAGCAAGCCCCATCTCCCCAAGTCCAACTTGCAGGATTTTATCCTGCACATTTCCAGGATTCCAGATTTCCCTACGTGGATTTTTTTAAGAAGTGGGAGGGCTGAGCATGAGATGACACCTGATGCCAGGTTTGCTGAGCTGCCCTGGGCCTTCCTGCAGGGAAAATGCCTTCCCAGAGCTCCAGGCTCAGGAGAAGGATGTGCCCAGGGGAGGAGGGAAGCCAGGCAAGAAAAGATTCTGGTTCTGTACGAGTGTTTAAGAGCTGCTCTGAGACACAGAGGGGCTGCTGAGAACTGAAAATCCACCCTGAGTGGATGCAGGAAAGTGTTTGGCATCTAAGCAGGAAATGAGGGAAGAGAAGAAAAATATGGGGAAACAGAAAATATTTGAGTCAGTTGGTCAAGCAGAGAATGAGCAGAGGGAGAGAATCCATGGGGAAATTATATATTATATATAATATTATGTATTATGTATATATATTATTATATATAATAGATATGTATAATTATAACATCTGTATTGCCTTACCACAAAACCACCCCATTTCTGGGTCAACAAAAGGCTTAATCCAACAACCTTGAAGCACTTTACAGCTGCTTTGGGCTTTTCCAGGGCCAGTTCTATCTCCTGAGAGCTGCAGGAAATCCTCCAAAGGCACAAATAAAGCTTGAGTGGGGCTCACCTGGGTTAAGGAAGTTGTCCCTGCTTGGGATCTGGATGGGTTTAAGGTTCTTTTACACCCTTTTTAGCTGTAGAATCTCAGCAGCTCAGCCTTGGTGGAGACAGTCCCATCTTCTTTTCCTTCTTTCCTTACCCCATCCCCGTTCTGGAACTCCTTGGGCACCTTTGCAAGGCTTTTGGGCCTGGCCTCATTTGTGTGAAGAAATCTAACAGCAATCTGCTGAAAATAATGCTCATTAAAAAGCATCATTAAGCCACTTGGCTGGGGAGGAGTTGAAGCCAGGGCTGTTGATGCTGGTCATGGCAGCAGGATGAGGTGAAGGGGCAGAAGGGAGAGCTCTGAAATCTGCAGAGCCCCAGGATGTGCCAGTGCCAAAATACCTGAATCCAGAGGCAGGAAGGAGCCACGTGGAACTGTCCCAGAGTTTTGTCAAGTCCCAGGTGAAAGGGAGAACACAGGACTGTTCTAAGAGACCTGCCAGCTAAAAACAGAACAGCTTCTTCCCATCCATTCCTCCTGCTGTGCATCACTTCACCCAGGCCAGATGGGAATCCCTGTGCTCTGGGCTGCTCTCCTGGCGTGTGTTTGCTGGTTCAAGTGGAGTTATTTGTTTCTCTGCTGTCCCTAACCCTTGTCTCCTCCCTGCAGTGAAGCCGCTGCCCACGCCGTAGCCACGCTGGCCGAGGCCACCCTTCAAGGAGGGGGACAGATTGTCCTGTCTGGGGAAACTGCAGCAGCAGTGGGGGCACTCACAGGAGTCCAGGATGCCAATGGTAAGGCCTCTGCAAAGGTTTTCTTTGGTTTGGTTTTTATTTAGGCTCTTTAAAACGGTCTTTTCCTCTCTTTTTATTGAAATGGCACGGTTTGGGTGGTAAAATACTCCTCACTCACTCAGGGGGTCACTGACCAGTTGTGAGTTTTAATCTCAGGGTGGAATGGGAGCTTTAACTCACTGTTGGCTTCCATGGTGCTGGTGGTTCTGCTCTTTCCCTCCCCTGCCAGCTGGCTCTACATCCTTAGTTTTTTTGGGAAAACTGCTCCGTGATGTGTGTCTGTGCCCAGCACAGGAAGGACCAGCTTTGATCAATTAACACAATTAGTTGGTGCCATAATAAGCTCATCTCCAGAACTCTTAAACCAACATTTTATTACTTATTTCCTGCCCTTCTCAAGGCTTTTTTTCAGTGCTTGGTGGCTGTTCCTGAGGCAGCCTCAGGTCGTTTTCCTCCTGCTTCATTTTTCATCTTCCCACCACAGCCGATCTCTTGATTCCAGGGATTCTCTGTAGCATTTCTCACCTGTTCTATGCCTTCTGCCAAGTCTGGTGACTTTTGCAGCCCTTGAGACTAGAAATAAAACTGTAAATCTATAAAATCCAGTTCAGGAGATTAATGGAATATGAAAATGTCCTTCGTTGGGGCTCATCCATTGCCTCCAATTGCTCTGTGCTTCTGCCTGACCCTGGAGGTGTTTAAGGAACACCTGATGCTTTGGTGTTGGGTTATAGGTTGGATTCAGTGATCCCAGAGGTCTTTCCCAGCCTGGCTCTGGGATAATTTCTAAGCTCAGACTGGTTATTATGGAATTACCCAAGAAAAACCCACTGGTTGTTTGGGTTAGGTGGAAGGAGGTGTGTCAAAATCAGCCGGAAAAGGGCGCAAAGGGTGAAGTTGTAAAGAAACCTTGAGGGTGGGACTGTTTGGACAGGAATTGTCAAAGAGGGGCCAAGTTGTGGCTGGGTGCCAGAACTGTCATTTTGCATGAAAGCAGAAACCTGCTCAGGTGAGAGCTGCCTTCCATCAGAATCCTCATCCAGCCAGGAGCGCGCTCTGTGTGAAATGTGGATGTTCAGTTTGCAGCAGAGGAGGGAAGAGGAATTTGGCTCGGAGCTGGTTTGGTTCCCTTGCTGTGGAGTCAGCCAGCCTGAAGAGGGAGCAGAAACGAAGGGAAATCCCTGTCCCCGGAGCTGGGGATGCATCTGGCACCGAGGGAAGAGCAGGATTGTGTTTATTGTGCCGGCAGCCTGGCGTGAGGGCGATAAGTGCTGTGTGTTTATCAGAGGCAGGATCTGACCCTGGATGCTCAAAACCAGCAACTAATCAGATTTGGAAAAGCAGATCCGCACCCCTGGCTCCTTCTGCTCTGCTTCCAAAATGCTTTCACAGTCTGGATTCCTCTGGATGCTTCCCCTAAAACTCCCCTTCTCCACACCCTCCCTGAGTCACTCCACCTCACTCTCCCAGCGCTGACATCATTTCAATACAGGCTGGGCTTTTTTTTTTTTTTTCCTTTTTTTTTTTCTCGTTTTTTTTTTCCTAGCAGCCGAGTTGGAAATCAGATGGGATTTAGAGTGCATTAAGAGGAGAGACTGCAGCATTTTCCTGTGAGCACAACCTCGCCCACAGCCCCTCGCCTGGTTTCCACTCTCCTTCGATTTGCTCTAATCTCCGGTGGTATTAAGGGGAAGGGCTTTGGAGTCCTTGGAAGCTCCATGCTGCTGGTTCCTTACGTAACCAGCTAATATATCTCCCTCAGGGATGGAGGAGATGTTGGTATCCATTGCTGCTGTCTCTGTCTGGGGAGCAGAGCAGATGGATTCACTGCCGGCAGGATTTATCTCCGTAGCCGGGGTGGGAGTGGGAGCATCCTCCTGGATGGATGCACCAGGAGAAATCCACTCTCTGCCCTTCTGTCCAGAGGAGGTGGAATTGGGAGTGATTTGGGGAAAACTGCCAGAGCCAGAATGGTCCTAAGCAGCAAATTTCCCCTTCTCTCTGCTGCTTGCGAGGTCTTAGTTTGCTGATATTCCCAATAAATGCTTCTCTCTGGGAATGCTCTGACCCTTCTGCAGGATTTTTCTGAGGAAAAAACCTATCTGGAAGGGTAGGATAGAAATTTATCTCCGTCTTATTGATAAGGTAAAGGAGATAGTTTGACACCTCCCCATCCCTGGGAGTGTCCAAGGCCAGGTTGGGCAGGTCTGGAATGACCTGGGATATAGTAGAAGGTGTCCCCATGGCAGGAATGAGATTATCTCTAACTCACTTCCAGCCCAAACCATTCCATGATTTCTGTGAAAATGTCTGGAGGTCTGTCAAGGTGTTTCACTCCTGATTTCAGCCATTTAGTGTAATTACTCTCTTTTTGTTAAATTTTTTTTCTTTTTTTTCTTTTTTTTCTTTTTTTTTTTTTGTTTCTCTCTCACTATGGCATTTTCCCCATCCCTTCTCTGGAATTATCTGAATAATAATAACAATACAAGACCACCAAGATGGCTAAAAAGAGGAGACCTCTGAATATTCATGGAAATGTTGGAATCTAGGGCTGGATATCTTGCAGGGAGCCCAGGAACGTGGCTGCACTGCAGAAGGGCTGTGGGTAATCTTGTGATCTGTTCCATTCCCAGCTGAAGGAAACAAGATCTCCTGCTCCCATGCAGTGTCAAACCAGCTAAGTGCATTATGGTTTTCCTGCTCCTCAGGAGCATCTGCTCTGAGTGGGGATGCAGGAACTGGTGACCCCACACTTGGAGCCTCAGATGGTTTTGTTCCTAAGTGCTTGGTATTGAACAGAGGAGTATGGAGGGCAAGTGGAGGGGAGTGTGGCAGCACCAGTCCCTGAAAATGCTGGGAAATGCTCTGCTAAGAAAAACTCTGTGCCCTGGAGCTGCTTTTGGAGTGAGAGGAGCTCGGTGAGCGTTGGAAGGAGCCGGTGCTGGAGCATCCTCCTCCTCCTCCTCCTCCTCCTCCTCCTGCAGCCTTTTGTTTGCCATTGATCCGTGGGGCCCTGAGGGCTGCCAGGGCTTCCCGGCTGCATCCTGAAATATTGATGAGGCTCCTGGCAGGGCTGAGCCTGCAGGGCTGCCCTCCCTGCCCAGGGAGGGTTCAACAGCCACGGCTCAGCACCAGTCCGGGGCTTGTGGAAGGTGAGAGGAGTGGAACACTCCAGCTCCAGCTGGGATTCAAACCAGGACATGAATGAGGAGCAGTGGGAAGACTTGGGAAGGAAGAAGAAGCTGTGGAGGATGTGGGATCGAGCCATAACCAGGGAATTAATTTTACAGACCAGAGATGCAGTGGATCCTGCTTGTCCCCCTTGGCTGTTCTTTTCCTGTCCCCAAAGCAGATTTTCCTGCTGGATCTCCTCCCTGTGCTGCTGGAGATGCTCCTGAGAGCACAAAGGGGAACACTGCGAGGAGCCCACCTGAGTCCTGCCCTCCTCCATCCCAAAAATCCCATCCTGCTCTCCACACAAGCAGAGGGGGCCGTGTTCAGGCTGGGCTGAGCCAGGATCTGTGAGGAGCATTAGGCTCTGACGTGGGCAGGGGGGATTAGAGAGCTCCCAGCTTTCGCAGGCCTGGCAAGGAGGTGTCAGTGCTGGGGGGTTTTGGCTTCTTTTTTCTGCTTCTCTCAAGGCTGGGATTGAAGCTGCTGAGATGATATTTTGTGTTCAGATTTAGGTGTTTATTGTTTCTTATTTATACTACAAGTGGTTAGTTCTACAGCATTCTACAAAATGGCCAACTGTCTTTTTATACAAGGTCTTTTAAGGCTAAACTATCCAATTAAGAAATGACACCTAAATTATTTTTACTTTTAGCTTAATAACTAATCACTCAAAGTCCACAATGCAGGTTTTTTTGTCTAATTACAAAATACTACTTAAACTTATGAAGAAGGTGGTGAAGAAGAGCAACTAGCCATTGCCCTAGAACTTCTATCTAGCCCCATATATAGTTATGTTCTAAAGCCTTAAACTCTAAGTTCTCTACTCTGTGTTATTACAGACTTCTGATCAAACTCCACACCCATAATCCCAGTGCTATCTATCAATCTTGGAAGCTTTCCCCACTGCCTCAGGTCAAATATACTATTTTCTTGTGGCTCTGTGCCCTTCAGCACAGAAAGTTTCGAATTCTCAGCATCCAGGACTCCAAATGTGCAGGATAAAAGAGCCTCAGAGGCGTTTGGGGTGACAGTACCACACAGAACTGCTCCTCCAGGTGGTGATTTCCATGTGGGAAGAGGTTTAAATGCTGGAAAAGCTTCTGTTCTGGGCGAGGCTGCTGAGCTTCCCACACAAAGTCAGCAGGTGGGAAGCTGTGCCCAGCCTGGCCGTGCAGATGGGAAATGGGAACGCTCCTCTGGCAGCTCTGCCTGCCGGTCCCACCCGGCTGCTTGCACAGGAAAACACATCCAGGAGGGAAAGGCAGGATTGGGATCCTGTTCCCTGTGCTGGGTGTGTCTCCCAGAGGGCAGGAACACAGGTGGGAAAACCCAGCAGAGGTTTGGGATCCCTGTCCTTGCTTTGGGATTCCTCGGGATAGGGAAGTGCAACACGGAGCCACTGGGAGCTGGGGGCTTTTTCACATGAGAAAAACATTTCTAAATTTCCTGGGGGGAGGTTTAGGGGCTGCAAATGACACTTTTTAAAAAGGAGTACTTTATGTTTTTCCTGTTGGATCTCCTTTTTAGGGAAGATGGAGCCAAATGAGTCGCTAGCAGCTTGGCAAAGTGCAGATCAGCATGTTTGCATCCAGGAGGACAGGAAGGAAAGAGTCAAGCTTTTTGTAGGGCCTCCCTGGTGGGAACAGAATTTTTTTATGAAGGTTTTCCCTGAAACAGGTAGGATTTAATGCCAATCTGAAGGAAAGGTGAGGAAAATAATTTTTGCAGGTGTGTTTCAGATGACAAAGGGTAGAAGAGAAGCCAGTGACAGCCAGCAAGGAGAGCAGAAGAGTGAAATCCTGGGTTTGCTGAGCAGCTCCAGGGAC